ACGTTTTGATATTTTATAGGCATCGTTTAAATTAACAATAAAAAGAAGACAATAAGTATTTATGTTGTACAATTAATGATTATTTAACTTTTATTATTATTGTGAATACACGAAATACCAAGTTATCAACTTACTCGTTTTTCTTTAACAAGTCGCTCGCACACGTCAAACTTATCTTATCTTATGACCAAGAAAAAAGATTCTATTTATCACTTTTTTTGGTTCCGATTCCTAAGGTAGGCACTTCGCAATTAGGTACGAAAATATAAAAAATTAAAAATGCTCATACCAATAGATATTTTTAGTAAAATTAGTTTACAACTCGATATTATCAATGTAATTTGGAGCTATATAATATAACCAATTGAGGATTCAACGAATATGTAGTCACGGGCGAATGGGTACTTTTTACTTTTCAACACATAATATTAGTGCTGAATATAGTTGAGTCCAGAAAAACCGAAATGTTTATATTTACTACATTTTAGTGATTAATTAATAATCAATAATGACGATGGGTATTTTGCTATTTTGCTATATTATATTGTCGTATGTACAATTAAGCAAAAAAACACTTAAATATACAATTATAATTTGTATTATTTGATTATAAAGGTTGACTATTTATTAGGATGTAATTGAGTGGTAATGGTAGAATAAAAGTGATTAGTGGATTAGTGGAAATAAAAAATAAGGTGAAAATATTATACATCTTGGGTTATCGCTTTAAAGGAGAGAGAAAGTAAAGTGTCTATTTAGAGGGGACTTAAAATTTTTCGTGACAATGACCAAAAGGAAAGTGATAAAAAAAATAGGCTCCAAACTGTGTGTACTTAGGGTCCTAAAATCATAAATACGATTCTGCCATGGTTTTGATGCAGAACAAATTTACAAATTTACGACCTTGTTGAAATAGAATATTGTTGTTCACTAATTTCAATATAGTGTGCTGTTTGTTTTGATATTAAAGTGATTTTTCCAATTAACCAACTTTTAGGTAAAAACATTATCTGTGTTCAAAATGAAAAATGCTCATACATATATAGTTTTTGAGCATAAATAGTTCAACACCTCGATAGTATCGATGTAAATTGGAGGTAAATAATATGGATCAATGTTATTTTCTCGTTGGAAATGCCTACCCATACAATATTTAAAAGTCCAATAAAATATACAAAACACATGTCATTGAAATATATGAACTTTTCAAGAAGTACTTATCTAGTACACGTATATATAATTTTCGACTAGACGATATAATTATGTTTAATTTTCTAATAGTCCAGATAATTTTCTATTTTATAATATTTCTGAATTGTTTTTAATTTAAATTCCAATCATCTCTTTCGTGTAAACTCAATAATGTTGTATCAAGAGTTCGTGGAAGAAGTGTTTAAGGTAGACGACAAAGTATTATTTTGTCAATTATGTGAGGGTAGAGTGAACAGTGAAAACAATTAACCATAACTCAGCACTTCAAAACAGATAAACATATTTAAGCAACTAAGCGCCATCGAAATAAAATTGAAAAAAAAACGGTTTCTTACAAGCTACCAAAAAAAAAATATTTGTTACTAATAACTAAAGGCTTAATATACCTATATTATACTAATATAATCTATAAAATCAATCAAAAATAAATATTGAATTATTTTTCTTGTTAATTTAAACTACGCCTATAAAATATCAAAATCTGTGCTAAAAATTAAAAGCGTCAAAACAGTAGCTAAAATAATTAGTAAATAGTTACTTACCTGCTATGCTCTGCAACTTTTATTTTTAAGGAAAAATATAGGTACCCAAAATCCGCCATTAACACTTATATAACTAGTAGGTAGGTAATGAAAAATCCTTTTATTTGTTAGAATATTAACATTCCTAGAGTCTCACTATAATAGGTAGGTACCTATATCATAATAATATATAAATTTTTAATCATTGCCGAAATAGTCAAATAATATTTATAACGACTATGTCTTCGTATTAAATATCTTAGCGAAATACCCATTGTCATTAAAGAAAAACGTGTAAGTTGATATCTTTGTCTTTCGTGAATTCACAATAATATTAAAAGTTAAATAATCATAAATTGCACAACATAAATACTTATTGTCTTCTTTTTATTGTTAATTTAAACGATGCCTATAAAATATCAAAACTTGTGCTAAAAAATAAAAGCCTCAAAACATTAACCAAAATAATAAAAAATATGCTTTGAAATGAAAATAGTTCAAAGGATAGAAATAATATAAACATCATGACAATTATTTAACGGTCACATTCTAAAGGTTACTAAACAAATTTTTACTTAACTGCTTTTTTCTGAATTTTTTATTTATTTAATGAAAAATATACGCAAATTCTGAATAAACACTTATCTAACTACTAGGTAGGTAATACAAATTTTTTAATATTTGAGTACCTACCTAATTTCGAAGGCCTATCTTTGGAATAAGAAGAAAAAAGTGAAGTATAAAATCTTTTTTCTTGGTCATAAGATAAGATAAGTTTGACTTTTGCGAGCGACTCCGTAAAATAAAACGTGTAAGTTGATATCTTGAATCACAATAATATTATTTTTTTTTACGAGTTTACGACACATCGGCATGTTTGACGTCCATATGCATATGAAGATGCCTATAAAATGTCTCTTAGGATCTGGTAGTGTGGTATGTCAACATTGAAAATTCTATTATTTTTATTGAAATAACGAAATACCCAAAGTCATACATATTTACATTTTTGAAAGTGTTTTGTATACTTCATTGGACTTTTAATTTCTTTATTAAATGTTAAATATAATCATAAATTGCACAGAAGAAATCCTTATTGTCTTCTTTTTATTGTTAATTTAAACAACGCCATCATTAAAATATCAAAATATATGCTAAGAAATAAAACTGTCAAAACTTTAACTGAACACTCGCCCTTTACACTAAGAACTAAGATGCTATGATGATTAGAACCAGAAAAGTGAAAAATAAAATCTTTTTCGGTGTCCTTAAGTTAAAATAAGTTTGACTAGTTCGTAAATCGTAAAATAAGTTAACGAGTATTTTGTTTTAAAACTGTACCCCTTACTTAAACTCAGTCCAATGTAAACAATGATATTGCCATTCGCCCGTGACTAAATATTCGTTGAATGAGGGTTAGGGAACTGAATTTTTAATATTATTTACCTCTAAATTACATTCATAATATCGAGTTTTAAACTAAATATACTAATTATATCTATTGGTATGAGTATTTTTAACTTTTTATATTTTCGTACCTAATTGCGAAGTGCCTACCTTAGGAATTGGAACCAAAAAAGTGAAAAATAAAATCTTTTTTCTTGGTGATAAGATAAGAGAATTTTGACTTGTGCGAGCAACAGCGTAATGAAAAACGTGTAAGTTGATATCTTTGCATTTCGTGTATTCACAATAATATTAAAAGTTAAATAATCATAAATTGCACAGCATAAATATTTATTGTTAAGTTAAACGTAGCCTATAAAATATAAAAACGTGTGCTAAAAAATAAAAAATTCAAAACATTAAACAAAATAACAAAACCAAATATGCTTTGAAATGAAAATAGTTTGGAAGATAGAAATAATATATGCATCATGACAATTGTTTTACGTTCGCATTCTAAATGTTACTAAACTAATTTTACTTACCTGCTCTGCTCCGCAACTTTTATTTTTAAAAAAAATGTACCCGAAATCATTATAAACACTTATATAACTACTAGGTAGGCAATAAAATTGTTTTTATGTTTGCCTAACTAATTGCGAAGTGCCTACCTCTGGAATTAAACCAAAAAATGAAAAATAAAATCTTTTTCCATTTTGGTTAAAAATGTACCTACCCTTTCTTAAACTCCGTTCAATGTAAACAATGATATATATATATATATATTATATTTGATACAGTCTCCATTTTGTTGATTTTTACCAAATATAAAATACAGTTCTAAAATTATAATATACAATATTATAATAATAATTGTTTATGCTTATATATAAACAATTATTGTAAACTTTTAAAAACTAAAAAATGTTCGTTACAATAGTTGAATATATATTATAGGTACCTATAATATTCTACTGTACCTGGCACCCTAAATTTTATAATTTTTTTCATCTTTCCAATTTTTTTACCAAGGGGGGGGGGGTGAAGGGGTGTTCACCACCACCTTAACAATTTTTAATAAATAATAAAATTACTTTCATTGTCAATAAAATAATAATGATCGACGTTTTAATTTACTCTTATACTTAAGTAGAAAAACTAATCACCACAATGATAATAATTATTATCTATGCATAACCATTACTGTTTATATAAAGATAATAAGTAGCTAATTGTAAATACTTAATTGTTGATGTGGTTAATGTGACGTATGGATAACTCGTGGTACCAAATATTTATTTTATAATTTTCCATACTCTACTAACACGAATATTTATAGTTGTTTTGGAGCTATTTAAGAACATTTAAAATTTTAAATTCAATGTTTTTTTTTTTAGTCTTTTTATGTAAATGTCAATAAAATATTGCTCGTCTGGTCAATTATTTTAAAAACTTAATACTAGGTTCCTCATAATCTGTTATAATAGCAGTTAAAAAGTATTAACGAGACATATAGACGAGTTTTTTTTTAAGCATTTGTTGTCAACATTTTACAACTTTTATCAAAATCGTGAAAATGTGCAAATTATTTTGTATTAAGTGCGTAATGTGTTCAATTTTTAGATAATAGGTATTATTTTGAATACAGTAATTTTGGCGATTTCGTCCAAATATAAAATAGAGGTCTAAAATATTTTTAACATACAATATTAGGAGTAATAGTTATATCATTTTATTTAGGTATGACCAATAGTCAAACTTAAACAAACAAAAAAATGTACATTTATGTACCTAATATTATACTATACTACTATTGTAAAAAAAATAATGAAGAAAAATTGCTTATATCATATTTTTAGATATTCTTAATTGTTATCAGTTTCATTCTTCTTTTTCTTCGAGAGACATAGGAGGTTGTGGCTCAACGATTGGATTTTCCTTTAAGTCTGATTCTTCGGTGGACATGGGTTGTGGCTCAACGATTGGATTTTCCTTTAAGTCTGATTCTTCGGTGGCCATGGGTTGTGGATCAACGATTGGATTTTCCTTTAAGTCTGATTCTTCGGTGGCCATGGGTTGTGGCTCAACGATTGGATTTTCCTTTAAGTCTGATTCTTCGGTGGCCATGGGTTGTGGATCAACGATTGGATTTTCCTTTAAGTCTGATTCTTCGGTGGCCATGGGTTGTGGCTCAACGATTGGATTTTCTTTCAAGTCTGATTCTTCGGTGGCCATGGGTTGTGGCTCAACGATTGGATTTTCTTTCAAGTCTGAATCTTCGATTACCATAGGTTGTGGCTCAACGATTTGATTTTCCTTCAAGTCTGAATCTTCGATGGCCATGGGTTGAGGCTCAACGATTTGATTTACCTTCAAGTCTGAATCTTCGATGGCCATAGGTTGTGGCTCAACGATTTGATTTTCCTTCAAGTCTGAATCTTCGATGGCCATAGGTTGTGGCTCAACGATTGGATTTTCTTTCAAGTCTATTTCCTCGAGATCCACGACTTGTGGCTCAACGATTGCATTTTCCTTCAAGTCTGTTTCTTGAGACTCTTGATTTTCTTCACTTTCATTGTTATCTTCTGTGGCCTCGAGTGCCATGAGTTTTGGCTCAACGATTTCATTTTCCTTCAAATCCGTTTCTTGAGACTCTTCATTTTCTTCACTTTCATAGTTATCTTCTGTGGCCTCGAGTGCCATGAGTTTTGGCTCAACGATTTCATTTTCCTTCAAGTCCGTTTCTTGAGACTCTTCATTTTCTTCACTTTCATAGTTATCTTCTGTGGCCTCGAGTGCAATGAGTTTTGGCTCAACGATTTCATTTTCCTTCAAGTCCGTTTCTTGAGACTCTTCATTTTCTTCACTTTCATAGTTATCTTCTGTGGCCTCGAGTGCCATGAGTTTTGGCTCAACGATTTCATTTTCCTTCAAGTCCGTTTCTTGAGACTCTTCATTTTCTTCACTTTCATAGTTATCTTCTGTGGCCTCGAGTGCCATGAGTTTTGGCTCAACGATTTCATTTTCCTTCAAGTCCGTTTCTTGAGACTCTTCATTTTCTTCACTTTCACTGTCATCATCGATGATGATGGTCGTATCTGCCAAACTCCACACCCTAGATATTACCGGCAAACTGTAGACTATCGGTGCTTTACCTTTCCCGCCCCTGTTCAACTGATCCTGTTCGGTCGAAGATACATTATTCATGTTGTCTGACATTTTCAGTTGATCGCAATGCAAGTTCTAAGTACATAATATAAAAAAAATATATTAATTATAATATTATATTCAACGTGTTTATTACAATAATACTTTACATAAAATCCATGATGAAATTCAATAATGTTATAGGCAGGTAAGTACTATATTATAGTTATGTGTAAAGATCGGATTTAATTGATAATGCAATTTTTATTGATATCAGATAAATTAAATCTTATCAAATATGTACACTAATCGGACTAATTAGTAGGTAATTAGTAATAATATATTCTTCCTATTTAATTTTCTATTACAGTGTTTGGCAACTTTCAATGATTTTTAAATTGTTTAAATTTTTTTATACTTTATACGTATACGTATATGTATATGTGATAAAATATACACAAATTATTATTTCTTAGGTAATTCTTCATTAGAAATATGACTAAGGCGTACATTTTCATATTATGATTTTTCCTAATATTAGTGAAACGTTAAAAGGATGCGGTCATACACACATACCAGTGTCATAATATATTATTAATTATAATATCGCCGTCCCGGTAGAACAATGACGCAACTGCAATAATTGCAATTTTACAGGAAACCCAAAAAACTAAATTGTTAATTATTTATGAGTGTACAAACTGATAATTCCACAACGACGCAATTGCCCTCTGGAGGTCTAAAATACAACTACAGTTCCGTCGTTTTTCTACATTATGCGTACGCTATATTTAAACTCATTGTAGCATTTAGGCCATTTATACCAAATTTTGGAGTTGCGTCATTGTTCTACCGGAACGGCGATATATAGTAATAATTTATTGGCTGACGTATTACAGGTATCAATGTAAGAAGAGTTACAACTTACAAATAAATTTAAATGTCTTAAAAAAAAATAAAGGTTATAAAATTATAATAAACTATTAAAACTTATTTTGAGGTTGTAGCAGGAAAACAAAATGTTAATTTAGATATTATAATACCTAGGTACCACCATTTTTTTTAAAATTATTTTATATACTCGTATGCACTGATTACAAGTGTAGATGTTGAACATACTTTTTCATTATATAAACATTTAACGAACTTTAAATAATAGACCATACAATTTTCAAAAACACCCAAAATTTGGAAATTCATATAATAATTATATTATAATATATTATACCTATAATTATTATAGGTACATTTTAATTCAGAAAAATAATATATTAAAGTTTTTAAATAGGTACATTTATAAAATATTTATTTTTAAATACTACATATTTTATAAAATTCTGTAATATGTTAATGTCCGTCATGTTATTTAAGTAAGTAATTAACAATTATATATTTTGTATGATAATGCATGATTTTTTAAATAAAACTATTTTATTACAATTAAATGGCAAAGATACATTTTTTAAACTTAGTATGTGGCTCAGTTCACATTAAAATTAATTACTGTTCCGGCGACCAAATAATGAGCCAGATCGACACTGGTATTTAAAATATATTGCTAAGCTATAATGGCTAAACAATATTGTCGTTAAATAAAACATTTAGGTAAAAGTGTAAAACATAAAAATATATTGGTAATATAATATCAAACGGAATAAGAAAAATAGGTTTGGTATAATAACGTTTTAAACAATGGAAAGTGATTGTTTGGTGAAAAAAATGTTTAGTGAAAATGTCTAGTAATTAGAATTTAGTGTGTACCTACGGTTATGTTTTTAATTACTTAAAAAAAAAAAAAAAAAAATAAGCAAATAGTTTTATTATAAATCATTATTTTACACTTAAATATCTAATTTAGTTAACATTTGAACTCACAAAAATTTTTGACCGAATTTAATTCAACTTTTTTTTTATTAATTTCAAAAGTAAAAACTTCTGATTAACTTATTAGTTCTTAACTTAATAGGTTGTAATGTTGTATGATGTATATTATAATATACTTTTATACTTACAAGTTACAAACTACGAACTTATGATATATCGATATATCGTGCAATTTAAAAACGTTGATGTTCAGTTATAGATCGTCGTGAAAGGTTTTATTTATAATAATTTTGGTTTCAAAGAACATAGACGTAGAATATAAAACTAATATTATTCAGTAACAACAATTCAATGTGGCGTTTAAAGCGATTTCGCGATTAATGACTGTAAAATAAGAATCGTTTATCAAGAAAGCCAAGTCAATATTCTAATCAAAATTATTTCGTACACAAATATAGCCCGTTCAAACTATGACTAAACATTAGTTTAAATATTCTAATAGTTATTCAGCTAATCAGTAATAACTGATATTCATACCATATCACTAGCTCCCTCCAACTAATACTCTATCAGTTTTTTTATAATTACACCGAAATCACGTTTAAGATTGCATGAATTATTATTTTATAACATTTAACATCAATTATAATTTATAATTTTTGACTTGTAAATTATTATATTATATTATTATTCTATATCACTGCTGTTACAATTTAATATTATACGTTATGAAGTTTTATTGAAAATAAATTTACAGAAAACTCATACATGTAATTTAAATGATTTTGTAAGCACAACTGCATGCGACATTTTATAATTTTATATCAATGAATATAGAACTGGGTACTACTTTGTTTTATTATTTAGAATTGAAACCATTGTGTCAACTACAACTGTTAATTGTTAACAAATTTTACACTTTTACACTATAAACTAGGTATTGATATTTTTTTCGTGGTGTCTTGAAACTAATTTCTAACTTATTGGGCAATAAATCAACACACAAAAAACACTCGAATGCGAAAACTTCCAAACAATACTTATAAGTTTACTTTCTTATAATTCAATATAGTAACATGTAAACATATTTTCTAATCGCATGTAAAAACGTGGCAAGCTTTTTTTTTTTTTATAAATAATTGTCCCATAAAACTAACTCATCGGTCATCACTCATCAGAAGTGGTCACATAAAAATGGTCCTCTAATATGGTTCTAATATTGTAAGGTCGGTTAAAATTGTAAATTTTAGAACGCGAACACTATTCGTACTATATAAGTATAATATAAAAAAGTCTCAAGTCATGGCCAATTATAATAAACATTTTTTATTAAATTTAAATACAATTTGGTAATATAATAAAATTATAATTTGCAAATATTATATTATATTATATTATATTATATTACAACATAAAGTGATGCTTGGCTGTAACTGTTTTAGCATAAACACTTAAAAAAACTTTGATTATGTATTTTGACTTATTTATATCATAAACTTACAACTGTTATCATAGAAAATATCAAAATCAGATAGATGTTCGTCGTTGTAATGTTAGATTTTACTGGTGGACCTTTGGAAAACAAAATTACGAGTGCTTGGTGCAATATAAAATAAAGGGTATTATGTCAATTACTGACTGATGAGGCCAATAAGACTCAAAACAATACAGGACAGTTAACAGTTCCATACAAAGTATATACAATAGCTCATATAAAAGCAACTAATCGATTTAGTCTCGCCTATAGCGGGGATATTCTACACTGATTTTCGACGTTGGCAATATGAGGTGTAATCCACATGGATTATATTTAAAAACAATTATTCTAATGCGATTTCTTTGGATTTCGTCAATTTTGTCTATCAATATTATAGTGTCTTTTGGTGAGTTAACGGATTTAGTATACCTATAGTCTAAAATAGATTTTAGTGTATTCAAGTATACAAAAAGGACAAACAGTGACCAATTATATTACACAGTGAGCTTTTATCTATGGTGAACAATACAAAACAAATATCGAAAAATAATAATAATTTCAAAAAAAGTCCATGTTTAATAAAATACGTGTATAGCCGTACCTGTAATGCGTTAGATCTGAATTATAAAATATAAAAAAAAATACCTGTGGGTTATATCTGATTTATAAAATTAAAAAAAAACTTCCGCAATCATTACATAATTTTCGGCATACAAGTTTGTCTAAACATAGTTAATAAATAGTAATTCATTCATCAGTATATTCAGTATTATATTTAAGGTTATGATTTCCTGATATCACCGTGTAGCCTACAGCATACTACCAGTACTCGCGTACCACAGTTTGAGGACTGCTGGCCGCTGGTTTATACTTTATACCATTTATAAATGTATATTATATGCGGTAATGCGGTATATATAATTATATAATATAGTTGTAAAGTAGTTTAGTAGTTTGTACGTACGTAATTATAAAATTCGTAAAAGACAAACCAATGATTTTATTTACTCGGAATTTGAACAGTAAATATGTTCACGAAGAGATTAATACGGTTAATATTTATTTAAATTGAATTTAAATATTCGTTGACCCCTCTGCCCTCTCCCCTCCCACCATATTCCGTCGTTCAAATCGTTCGTCTATATCGCGCTAACAATAATAATATTACCTAAGGCTTTATAATTTTTTTTTGTCTAAACACGTTCATAGTCCGACTCCACTGAACTAAATAAAATGTATTGTAACGAGTGTGTTAATATTAATCGATCCTAATAAGAAGTCGGCATGATATATATATATGTATTACGATTCATGTTAAAAGTATAGATAATACTAGCTGATCCCGTGCACTTCGTTTCCCGTTAAATGTACCAACTCTATATGACTCAAACATTGTTCAATGCGTTATTTAATATTCGGTGTATGATGTTCTAGATTTATCTTAACTTTTCTGTTGCCCGGAATAAAAATTCTGAATTGCAGCAGTACATTATCAGATAGGTAATTTACCTGCGGTAGATCGCGGACCCCGTGCTGTTTGTACATAAGTGTATGATTTAACTCAAAAAGTACCAAAGTTATACCAAGTTTGACGTTTTTACTTAATTCCACCTACCTATAAATCCTAACCTAACCTAACCGTACTAAAATCCGATGAATAAAAAAAACCAAATTTAACCCTTTTTAAATTAGCGTATCTTCTCCCATAGGTCTAATCTACACACCGTCATTCATTTATATATAAGATATATTTACAAAAAATAATAATACA